AATCCATTTGATTTTTAAGATGGAACACATTTTTAAAATGAAATTCTCCATCTCATAATCAATATTTGGGGCCACAATAATTAGCAATTTAAAAGTCTATCCTGATAACTCTAATGTCTATGTTGCCTATGGGTCTGTTTGTATCCTCTGCTTTTTCTCTTTGTTCTATTTCTTGGTATGTTCATTTTGAATGCTAGAAACTGTCTAAGAAAATCATGAGGCTCTGGATGATGTTATCTTTCTCTAGAGAAGATTTCCCCTACCCTTGGGTGGGCAGCTAGGATGGACGCACACTGTCTCAATCTAATGCAGGACTGAGTTGACTTGAAGTTGGGGTGCATCTTTTGTAAGGCTCAGCTGCAGAGTTTGTATGGCTTGGTCTGGCTCTGATTTGTCCCAAGCTCTGAAGTTGGATCTCAACTAGGAGATGAAGTGCTTCCTAGGGTGCTTCCCTTTGGCAGATCCTAAAATCCAATTTTCTCTCCTCAGCATCACAAAAGTGTCAAAAGTTGTCCTTGGATTTCCAACTATAGTTCCTCATTTTCTTAGTCTCTCACTTGATCTAGCTTAAGAAACAACAGATTCCTTGAGGCAAAAATGGGGCAGAGCATTGGTCTCATTTCTTTGCATCTCTTTTCTCTTTGGGATCTCATCCCTCAAGTCATGGCAGCCATAGGACATCCAAACCCAACTTTTGGCTCCCCAGTCTCATGAGGTTGCTGAAAGCTTTGATGTCTTCTCTCTATTGTCCATTGACTTCCACCCATCTCCTCAGCCCTTCATCTCACTCTTTGATATTTGGTAAATACTCCAGAGGAGAAAATCATGATTCAATATGATCCAATCAAATCAGTAATATTTCCTTTTCTCTAGCATCTTGATCCCTCACCTCCTGCCTGCCTGTGTGTATTTATGGATTCCTACAGATGTTTTGCAGGGTTTTTTGCTTGTTTTTGTTGTTGTCTTTATCTATCTTTTCTACTTATCTGGTTGTTCTGCTGCAAGTTACTCCATCATAGCCACAGTTAATTTAATTTTAAATGTAGAAAGATCCCACATACAAGACTCGCACATTTTCTCATAAGGTCATATATCAGTTCTGTTTTACAATAAAACCTCAGTTATACACATAAAAAATCTTATATTCTCAGGTTCCTACAATGAATTTGGATATAACCAAAGAAGCTCAAAGAACCATGCCCTATAAATGAAAATCAAGATGGGACATTCATTGATGCTATAGTTCCAAAATTGGCTCTGACAGCCTTGGTACACATCTTTTACAAATTCATAAGAGATAAATTTCTACCCAGGTAAGTTAAATTTCTCACTTTACAGAGCAATATGTGAAAGAAAGAGAATTAACTCAGTGCCTGACACATGTGTGCCTGAAAATACTTACAAAATAAATAAAAGAAAATGGGTTGAAGCTAATAAGTTTGCAAAGTGGATTCTGATACTGACAAAATATAATGCTTGAGTTCTGCCAAAATAAAAGACATTGATAAAGACTGTGAAGATGATGATTCTTTTGAGTGAAGGGTCAAGTTACTTTGATCTTTCATTCAAGAATACTTTTATAGAAAGGTGGTCACATTACTCTCCTCAGGAGGTCATGCAACTAAAATTTTTTCTCTCTACTTTCATGAGACAAAAGAAAAATGGCAAGATAGCAAGCAGACGGTAAGGAAAGCAGGTTTAACAAGTTTCAGGTTAGCACTTCAATAACTTAGAATATAGGTTCAGCAGTTCCGACAGACCTAAAATAACGTGCTTTCAAATATATAGCTCAGGAGTCAGCAAAATATGGCCTTGGGGCCAAGTCTGGCCCACCGCCTGTTTTTGTAGATAAAGTTTTATTAGAACATAACCACGCCCATACATTTATGAATAGTCTACGGTTGCTTTTGTGATACAACACCAGAGTTAGTGGTTATAACACCAATTATATAGCCTGCAAAGCCTAAAATATTTACCATTTGATCCTTTACAGAAAAAATTTGCCGGCCCCTGGTGTAGCTATTTCTCTCTTGTGTAGACACATGGGCAGTTATAGGGGCTCAGGATCTCTCTTTCTTGTCACTTGACCTTCCCTAAGATGTTGATCCTGTCCGCAGAGCAAAATATGGCTCACCCTGCGGTCTGCATCGCAGTCCCAGTCAATCTACATCTACAGCATAATACGCAAACTATTATATAATGGCTCTCTGTTTCCCAAAAGGGTTAAGCTACGTTCAGCATATCTGTTTCTGAGAGTAGCAAAGCAATATATTTTAGAAATATTTCCATTTTAAATTCTCTGTGCCAAAAGGGATAACGCTACTTATCTTGTATACCTCTCCCCCAAGCATGATGGGTAAATGAGGTATTGCAGTATAAAAGCCATATGGTAAGGTGGAAAAATGATGTTCTTTGGAGTCAGACAGGGGTAGGATTGAATCTCAGTTCTGTCCTCGCTACCTCGGGCACATTCTTCGACCCCTCTGAGACTCATTTTCTTCATCTCTAAAGATAGGTCGCTGAGCAAGTCGTTGTGAAGAGTAAATTAGCTGCGTATGCTGTGCTGGCAGCTAGTTGGTGCTCCATAGCTGTTGGCTTCTCTTTCCTTCCATGGGTTTTCCGGTTGTGTCAATGGAAACTTGAAACTTGAAAGTGTTAAACAGACTGGAAGCTCACTGGTTCCCTTCCACAGGAATGTACCAGGCTCTACACACATTATTTATCTCTTATGACAACTTTGTGTAGTTAAGTCCCTTTTATGTATAAATAATTTATGAACAGCCTAACTAAGAAGCACATCTTTCTACAGACACTGACATTCAGGAAATCTGTGACCATTCCTGGGTAACGGGGCGTTTGGATTGAAGAGCATCTTTGTATACTCTGCTTCGGAAGCCTGTAATTGATGCCTTAAACTACAGTCTATAATTAAGCATGACAGACTTCTTTCGTGTTAATAACCAGTTACTCAATAATTCATTTCCTAGTCCTCTCTCTGTAAATCATGATAAACTAATGTGGTTTTAATGAGGCTATGATGCACTTTTCCAAGGGGAATTCTGCAGTGCTGTAACAATGTCCCAAGATTTTAAGGCACAATTGCCTCAAGAATGAGTGTCGCTCAACACAAAAGGGGATGACACTTTCAGGGCCAGTGACAGGAAGGTCCCCCAAACACTTTCTACACAGTTGTTGTGGAATTTAGAGAATAAATTGATAAACACTTAGAAAAAACAAATCTGAGATGCTGGTATGTGAGATGAAACAATGGTTTTCCTCCACGAAAACTACTGCCTACTAAGGAAGAAATGAAAGGAAGAAAAGAGAGAGAGTGATGCTTTCAGCACCAATTGCCTTCAACACGGTAACTAATCCATTCCAGGTGTGTGATAATATTCATCTGCTTTTTAAATTCCTTTGTTCATTTTAATGGAATTTTGTTTTGATATTCACTGTCCTTTACCATTTTGTTTAATTGTGAAAATGCCTCATGTGTCATTTGAAAGGAGAGAGAGAATTAATTCTAAACAGAAAGCCAAACAAATGCATAAGACTTGTTTTCCCCGAAAACATCTGAGAACCGTTGTATATACTGCTACTTAGACACGTCCTTCTGTGAGCGAGGTGTCACGGGATAAAATTTAGCAACAAGGAAGTCACCACCAACATTGATTCAACTCAATAAGCATTATTTAAGCACCTACACAGTCAATACAAAACAAGATACAACACATTATGAAGACATCAAGCTGAATAAATGCTGCTAGGGTCTCACAGGACAGTGGAGAAGACAAGTGCATACACAGATAGCATTGATATATGGGATTGGATGAAACCTGCTACCACAGGGTGCTACGTATTAAGGAAATATAGCAACTTTCATTTGAATTGTACCTTTACTATTTACAAAGCCTTTTATGTGCGTTATTGTTCACTTGCATCCAATATAAATTCTGTGAAGTACATGAGGAATTTTTACAGTTGAGGAAAGTGTGGCTCAGAGCTGTTGACTAGCCCAAGTTCATACAGCAAACAGGAAGAGGAGTCGGACTGCAAGTCCTTTGCTTGATTCTCAGTATTATTCCTTCTGCTTTTCATATATAATATGAAGGGGCAGGGCATCAGTGAGTTCTCTTTAAATAACGCGAAGTCCAGTCACACGTGCATTTATCCAGTCAGGGAAGGCTGACTTGCCCGCATCACACCCAAGTCCTTTCCTGGCTTCCCAAGCGCTGTGTGAAGTCCAAGCTCCTGGACCTGGTATGGGAGGCCCCTCACCACTGGCGGTTCTTGCCGGAGTCTTCAGCCTCCTTGCTTGCCCTTCTTGGCCTCGAGCTCCAGCAATAGCGTGGCACTTGTGGTTCCCAGGTACTCACGTGGTTTCTCACCTTTGCCAAGTTGTCCCTCTACCTGGGGTGGACTTTCTCCCCATCTGACTTGACAACATCCTACTGTCTTCAAGACTCAGCCATTCTACTTCCCATTGGAAGCTTTCCAAATTCTATCAGGTTCTCATCCTCTGTGTTCCCACAGTATGCCTAATTGCGTTGTCCTCATTTTATTATCGTTATGTTTACGAGCCTGTCTCTTTTACTGAACTGTGAGCCCAAGGAGGGCAGGAACTAGGTCTTACTCTTCTCTGGTGCATGACACACAGAAAGTGCTTAATAAATGAAAGCTGTATGAATGACTAACTTCATTGAAAACATAATTGCCCCTAACATGAGGCTAGGACAAGACACAACGAACCACTGTTGGTGCCTTCCCTTATGTTTTATAGAATGCAACTGGTGTGTGAATGGAGAAGCCGGTCCCTGGTCAGCATCGCCTGTCCACTATGCTTCCTAGCCTGGACTAAAGGCTGTACTAAAAGCAGAACACATTAATTATTCCTAGTAAAGAGGAGACAACTAAGAAAGACAGCCTGAAATGTTGAAATAAGCAAATTATACTTTTATTAAAAGACAATAGTAGTAATATTATAAAAAATTTAACTCTGGCGCCGGCCCTGTGGCCGAGTGGTTAAGTTCCTGGGCTCCGCTGCAGGCGGCCCGGGGTTTCGCCGGTTCGAGTCCTCAGCGAGAACATGGTGCCGCTCAGTGGCCGCGCTGAGGCAGCGTCCCACATGCCACAGCCAGAAGGACCCACAACTAAAAAAAATACACAATCATGTACCGGGGGGCTTTGGGGAGTAAAAGGAAAAATAAAATCTTTAAAAAAAAAAGTTTAACTCAAAGATGCTTTATTCCTAGAAGCAGACAATTAGAGATGGATGAAACCCAAAGAACTGCGTAGGCCAGTCCTAATGTGTCACCATCACACACACACAAAGCTGAACTTCACCACCAATGCAAACCAGACTCGGGAGCAATCCTGCCGCTCACTTCTCCACTGTGGCTGCTCTTCCACTCTCCTGGATGGCCAACTTGTACCCTCTTTTTCTTTTATTGTTTCCTGCTCCATTGAGTAAAGGGCTGTGCTGATAGTCTCTGAAGCCCCGACCCTCCTAATGGGGCACAAGGAGCCACCGTGCAGCTAGCCCATCACCGGGCAGCCCAGAGAGCCTCCGGGTCCTCTGGCTGGTCGCCTTGTTTCTCTCTTCACAAACTTCCCTTGACCAAAACTAAACTCTTGATTTCTCCCCCAACCGCAAACCTGCTCTTCCCACAATTGCCCCTAGTCATAAATGGCAAGTATATATTTTTAGTTGTTCAGGCCCAAAACCTTGGGGGCATTCTTGACTTACCTGTTTTTTTCACTCCCTACATCCAAACCACCAGCAAGTCCTATAAACCATTCTCCTTGCTGCCCCCATTACTACCCTGGTCCAAGCCATCCTCAGCCTTCCCTCAGATTTTTCATGAGTCTCCTAAGTCATCTCACACCTTCCCCCTTTGGTGGCCTCTTACCACCAGCAGCTGGGGCCATCCTTTAAAACGTGCCCTGCCATGGCTGAAGACGCTCCAAAGGTTTCCATCTCATTCAGAGCTAAAACCAAAGCCTTTACTCGGCTCTGACATGACCTCCCACAATTCCCAGCCTCGCTCCCTCTGCTCCAGCCACTCGGCCTTCCCCCGTCCTCAGGCACTCCAAGCAGGCTGCCGTCCTGGGCCTTCAGGAGCTCTCGCTCTGCTCTGAGCCAGGAAGGCTCTCCCCTTCTTCCCTTAGACAGGAGCTGGCTCACGCCCTCACTTCACTCAGGTTCCTGCTCAGGCATCTGTGATCAGAGGGCTTTCCCTGTGTGCACTGTGCTACATTCTGACCCTCTTTCCCTCACTCCCTCTCACCCTTACCCACTTGTATTTCTCTCCATAACACTTGTTACCGCCTGACCTATTATATGCACAGTATATACTTGTTATTACATTTACTACCTCTTTCACCTCTAAAACAGAGCTAGTCTCTGTGTGGACGGAGATTTGGTGTCTTACACTGAAGTGTCTCCAGGAACCGGGATGGGTGACTGTGTGTTGTCAGTAGCTGTGTGTTGACTGAATGAATGAGCGGCTGAGTGAATGAATGGACGATAGCTTCATACCCTGTTGGTAGGAAGATGAACCAAGACAAACATCCAAAAGGGCCGTTTGGCACTCGGAACCATCCATGGAAATAAAGGATCAACATTCCTTTTGTGCCAGCTACTCAATTTTTAGGAATTTCCCCCATAACAGTACTAGTTCACAAAGATATATGGCCAACAATAATTAAAGAAATGTATTTTTTTAAAGAATAAAATAAATCAAAGCCACCTTCATGCCCATCAATAAGGAATTGGTTAAAAAGGTTTTGGCGCCTTGGAAAACAGCTTTGAAAGTCAGCAAAGCGGATCCGCGTGTTAAAGCTGCCTGGGATGTGTCACTGAGAGGGAACAAAGCAGGTTACAGGACTGTAGGACCAGAATGAGCCTTCTTACTTTTTCAAGGAAGATGGGGTATAGGTTACATGTGCGCAGGCTGACCAGTGCACACACGGTACCTGGTAGGATGTCATCAAGCCGGACAGGTGACTGTCTCTGGGAGGGAATGGGGACATGACTTTGTTTCTTGATTTTAAGCACTTCTGTGATATTTGACTTTTTCTATCTTGAACTACTTTATTTAAAAATTGTTTTTAAATGCCACATTTCTCAGAAAGCCTAGAAGAGCAATGAAGATGGATGTGAAGACTTGTTTTGACACTGACTGTGCAATTCACCAGCTCTGTGACCTTCAGCAATCAATTTAACCTCTCCAGAAATCAAACCCATTACTTGACAAGGAAGCAGGCAGCATATGACTCCCACCTGGCTGTACGAGGGGGGACCCTCTTGGACACGGACCCACGCTAAGGAGCAGGAGATTACAGAATGGATGGGAGTCGGGGAGGAGGTTAGCATAATGCTGTTTCATGTCGTTTAATCTTGACGTTAATAGGCTCCATAAAGCTTCTTCCTTTTTTTACCCAGGATGTGAACCAGACGTCTTTAAGATTGCCACAGTTAATTTTATCCATCCAGGCTTCCCAATCAATGCTTTTACTTGGAAGATATTTTCGTTTAGGATGCTGAAAAACTTTCCCCACAGTTGGGTCCCTAGGGCATTCTAAAACCACTTTCTAGATTTAAGTGCTGAGACCTTGGCCCCTGGATGTGAGAAACAATAGATAACAGTGTCTGTGACGCTCGGCGCATGTAGAGCTCTGGGCAAAGCCATAGAAAGAAGGCTCAAGCATGCAGAATGAACAAGAGAAACAGAACGGTGTGCTCCCAGCTTTTGATCCAGCAAGTAGAAGTGGAAACAGCAGCTATAATTTTGGATGCTGGACTGTCTCCTTCTGAGCATTTTGCATTTCAATTGTTGTCGCTCGTTAGGGTGCACTTCCTTTTCTTTTCAGTCTTTGTCCCTCTATTCATCCTTCACTCACCAAGCTCCTAGTGCCAAGGCTCTGTTTACTCCTGAAATACTGTAATTAGCTCAGCTTTCTCTCCCCAGGCCCTCAACGGTGTCTATTTTTCCATCTAATCCAGAATATTCAACTTTCCATAACACCAATTTCAACATGCCGATCCTCTGCTTAAATGCTCCCTAACATGCGCAGAATTAAGTCTAACTTTCTTCAACTGGTACTCTAGAACTCCTCGGTAAGCTGAATACATCAGTTTGCCATCAGAGAGAGAGCAAATCACGTGGTGTTAAGAGACTTGGGTTCAAATCTGAGCTGATTAGCTTGTTTGGATTTCTTGACCTCTTTTAGCTTCAGTTTTCTCTTTTGTAAAATGAGATAAATAACAATACCTACCTCTCAAGACTGTTGTGAGCATCCAATGAACAGTGCTTGTGAAAGCACTCTGTAAGCAATAAGCCCTGTAAAATATAATAGTACAACAATAGCGCTAACATTTATTGAGCACCTGTATGAAATGCCAGGTGGTACCCTTACCCGCTAACCTCACAGCAATCTAGGAAGCCTAGTCCTACTTGCATTTCACCAATAAGATAGCCAGGCACACGTGGGTTACAGAGCAGACAGTGGCAGAGCTGAGAGGCTCACACAGGCAGTGTGGCCCTAGAGCCCGCGCTCTGACCACTCTGTAGCTCTGTCATCAGACATGATGTCAGCCTGACCCAATAAACAAGTGTCTATGCAGGCTTCCACGCCAGCGCTCCCTCCCACGCTCACCCCTCCCTGCTTCGTTTCCACAGAGCTGGAACCTTCACAGCCCCGTTCAAATCCCACCCCTTTCAGCAAATGCTCCTGACCACAATCTCTATTAAAACCTCTGCTGATCTCTCGTTAGTGACTCTTACCCAGCCCTCGACTGCACCTGCCATTATTTGCATTCTCCATGGGCTCCTGTAGGCCAGAGGGATCGGATTCCTCTGTTTTCCCAGCATTCAGCATGATAGAAGGAGTTCGACGAATATTTTTTGAATAGATAAGTATTAACTAATTTGGGTACATTTATATGAATTACTTGGAGCAGCTGTTATCCACACCCGTTTCTATGCCCTCCACTGGACCTGCTGAGTCAGCAGCTCTGGAGGTTGGTGGGGCCAGGGAATTTATAGTTTCATAAGCAACTCACGTGACTCTCATGACCCTGTGAGGCTGGCTAGTGTGGGCCTAATTCAAAGGCTGGTAACCAGGGGAACACACCTGAATGTCCTGGATCTTTCACACCAGGCAAGCCCGTTTCATCTCCACCCATCTCAGAGATTCTGATTCACGAAATCTAGGGTAGGGTTTGAAGAAGGTGCTTAGATGATTCTTGCTTCCCTTTGCCACCCCAGCCTCTGTTAAGAACCCGTTTCTAATCGCTTTGTGTGTCTGCACTGTGATCCGTGACACCCCACGCCCACTACAAGAGACTAAAATATTGATGGTGAGCAGCCTCTCTATAATTCTGAATCCGGCACAGTGCCAAGGACATGGTGGTGTTCAACAGGAAATTGTCTGGTTAAATTAAAAGTTTTGTTCCATCCGCTTACCCATAGCCCATCTCCCACCTAACTCGCTTTGACCCTACCATGTATCCAAGCCTACTCTTGGTTTGACTTGGCTTTCCATTAGCCCACTTAGCTATCTCTCTCCGCTGGAGTCCATGGAAAGTGGCCTCAAAACTTGCCCTCGATGGATCCTACGTCATTTCAGTGGGTCCACTCTGATTTATTTAGACCCTTGACATAAGGCCTGCATCACCTTTGAAGCACGCGCCAGCCGCCAATAAACCTCTGCCTCTGCCCTCGGTAATGATATTTGCCCAACAAGATCAGTTCTGCTGTAAATGCATCACGGGTCGCCCTGTGATATGGCTGAGGGAACACACGAGGACTGCTCACCCAGCAAACGTCTCCCCAGCAGACCTGCCCAGGTGCCTACAAGTTCTACCATGACAACACACGTTTTCTTACCCTCAGAACAATGCAGACCTAAGATGGGGCATCCACAAACGCTCCTAGTTTATCCAGTGAGCACGGAAGAAGGCCAAGAGAGTAGAACGTGGATCTAGTCAGCTTTGATAAATGGGCAGGAACTCCAGTAAGATACTCTGAGATACATATATTTGTGACCCAAGGCGGGTGTAGAAAAGGGTAGAGATCTCTGATAAAGCTGGAAAGGGAGGCCCAAGACAACATACCACGTACCCCCTTTCTTGGGAACATAGGAATGAAATTGGACACTTTCTGATCGTTGGGTTCACATTTCTAGCTCCATATCCTCACTCAACCCCATCATCTGGATATGCCGATACTCGTTACTCATCTGGCTTTTTCATCCTCTCATTTGCCCTCTCAGACCCACTCTTACCTCTCTTCCTTGTCTCTAAGATCCTCTAAACATGCAATTTTCCCTCAGGCCTTAACTTTCATTCTTCCAACTCTCCTTGAATGTGAGAGGTGTTGTTGGTAAAGAAGGAAAAGACAGAGAAAAAGGACTTCAACTTAGAATTCGTCATTTGTCTGTTCTGTAGTTGATGTGTGGTGTGTGTAAGAGAGAGAGAGAGGGAGGGATGGAGGAAAACTGATTCTTGATTCTGTATTTTCCTTAAAGAGCCCTGGGAGTTCTCTGTAGTGTGTAATTATATATGAGGTTTGGACTTATTTCTTTTCTTTCCCATTCTTTCTTTTCTTTTCCTCCTGCCCTGTTCCTCAAGTGGCTCTGATCACAATAGAAGCTAAACCACCTGCCATTGTGTACAATCTGCACAAAAGCCGCCAAGCTGGCTGCCAGCTTCTGTCCTGTTGTGAGCAAAAATGGTTGAGTTACAAAGCCACTGAAAAAACCGGTTTTCTACAGGAAATAGAAATTTATCAAAATCAGGCCTCTCACATGCCCTGGCTGTGGGCTGGGAGCCAGATCAGCCGAGAAGCGACGGCAGGTGTGGTCCCCTAGCCTCGCCTCGGGGGCCTGGAGAGGCAGCTGTCATGCACATGCAGGAACCTCCGAGGGACCCTCCGGGGACACCAGAATAGAGTTTCCTGCTCCCTTTAATTCCCAGCTTTTCTAGGGAGTGCCCTTTGTGGGTTCTGGCCATTCGTGGGCTCCCAATCTATATTTCAACTTACCTCTGATCCACTTGTAGGTTTCTCCTAGCAAAGTAAAATGTTAAGAACTTTCTGGAGTCCTGGGTTCTAATCTCAGCAGAGTTCCCTAACTCCTGAGCCTCAGTTACCTCATTTCCGTAAAAGGAAAAACACCTACCTGATGAATTGGGAGCTCCAAAGAAACAACGGCTGATAACCGACAGGTGTTGCCATGGTTACCTCCTCCCGCCCCAGCACGGGGAGCCCGGACAACTGGTCACCTCTCATCACACTTGGGTTTGGACACAGCTCCAATTCAGGGCCTAGGGCCTGAGGAGGCCACGGCCTGGCCCCCCAGCTCTCCTCTGACCTGTAACAGTGGCTAACATTTACTCAGCTTCTGCTTGGACCAGCATTGTCCTCCCTTCTTTAAAGATATGAACTCGGTTAACCCTCCCAGACCTCTGAGGCGATCACCACTCTAGTCTTCCCCTCCCAGATAGGACGCCAGGGCATGGAGAGGGGAGGTCACTTGCCCACGGCCATTGGTAGTGGGCAGATGTGTGTCCAGGTGGCTTGGCTTCAGAGCCGGACACCAAGCACAGTGCTACCGAACCCAGGCTCGCTCCTGCTGAAGGAGGCTTTGAACACACAGTCTCAGCACGTCATGCGGTGCTGGGAACCTGGGACACCGGTGAGAGACAGACGCCGAGGAGCAAGAAGGACCCGGAGAAGCAGCGAGATGTGCTTCTGGGGCGGGGGAGGGAGAGCACCTGCCATCAGCCTCTCACTGGGAGGAAGCGCAGCAAAGAGATGAAGACAGGAGTCCAGGGCCGAGTCCACGGCTTTCCTCATGCCCCGCCTCCTCCCCTCTTCCCCAAGCTCCCTCCCGAGTTCTGACTCCTCCTGAATTTTCTGAACAGCTTTCGGGCCTGATTCTCTTCCTCTTTCCACCATTTTCAGACACAACAATTGCACTCGATGCTGTGGGAAGCACCTTAGATAGACTTTATTATTTAACTCCAACAACACGTCTGTGCAACAGGCACTATTATTTTCTCTGCATCATTGAGGGAGGTGAGGCTCGGAGAGGTTAAGTAACTTGCCCAAGGTCACATCTCACAGCCCGCAGGTTGTGCAGCACGGGTTTGAACAGAGTCTGCCTCACTCCAGGATCCAGCTTTATCCATTTGAGGTCAGATTAAAATGGATATTAAGTTTCACCCTGGAAGGAAAAAAGAAGTCAGCCTGTGGGGATTATTAGCAACATCCCAGCCCCCCTCAAATTTGTTAACCCCCCATCCTAGTAAATGGCCCCACTACCCCTCAGGCCAACCTGAGACCCCGCTCTCCTCAGGTCTCATTCATCACCCCGTCTGGTCACTTCAGCCTCCCGTGAACCCATCCGCTTCCTGTCTTCTCTCCGCTCCACCCTCATCAGCCTCCATCACTTCTCACCTGGCTGCTGCCTCAAGCACCGTCTGGCCCCTGCCTCTTTTTCTCACCTCTTGCCCATCATCTCTACAAAACAGTTACATTGAAGTACGTGGAGGTCTTCTCGGACGTTGCGTCCTCTCACCTGTGCCACGCAGGTCACTGGACAGCCTGTTTCCTCTGCCCGTGCGCTTCTCCACAATTCTGCCCACTGCCCGGCTAACTCCACTTACTGTTCAGGGCTCAGCTTAGATGTTGCTTTCTCTGGGAAGCTTTTCCTGAGCCCCCGAGTCTTGGTTAAGGGCCCCTGTAACAGCCAGTCCAGCTCAAACTTCACCCATCATACCACTTGCATGGTTTCATTTATATTCTCCTTTAAGCTCTAAGCTCAGCGAGGGCAGGGGTTACCACTATCCCCAGAGCTTCACTCGATAAATATGTGTTGAATGAATGACTATGGGCACATATCAGGGTTCTCCGGAGAAAGAGAATCAATAGGATGTACATATATAGAAAGAGATTTACTATAAAGAATTGCCTCACGTGTTTGTGGAAGCTGGCATGTCCAAAGATCTGCAGGGTGAGTTAGCAAGCTGGAGACCAGGAGAGCTGACGGTATAGTTCCAGTTTGAAGACCAGCAGGCTCGAGACCCAGGAAGAGCTGATGTTGCCATTCAAGTCCAAAGGCAGGGGTAATTCTCTTAACCAGGGTAGGGTCAGCGTTTTTGAGCTATTCAGGCCTTCAACTGATCGGATAAGGCCCACCACATTAGGAAGGGCAATGTCCTTTACTCAGTCTACCAATTTAATCATTAATCTCATCCAAAAACACCCTCACAGAAACACCCAGAATGCTGAACAAATATCTGGACACCCCGAGACGTGGTCAAGCTGACACATAAAATTAACCATCACAATACATGAATGAGTGAATGAATGAACAAATAAAAGAATGAATGAATGGTCCCACTGTTCTCCACTGGTCCCAGCTAACTGTACACAACTCCCTCTTCCTCCCTGGGCGAAGTCACTGCCATTGGTCAGCAGTGGGGAAGTAAGATCTAGACTTTTAGCCCCTGAAGGATGGAAATGGAGCGTCTGCTCTTCTGGTTGTTGTCTGCTATGGCTGCCATACTCTCTTCCACTTGCAAACACATTGATTCAAACTCCAAACAAGTATGAGGCCAGCCCCTGCTCCCACCTCAATCCCACCCCACTTCCAACCATAGCTGGGAATGGCGATCAATGCACTAGATGGGCCACATCCACGCCGCGACATTTCCTCGTATTAAATAACAACAGGAAAGGTTAAATAAGCGGCAAAAAAGAACGGAGATAGCTGTGCACACCAATGAGAATGCCTAGGATGATTCTATTCCCATGCAAACGCACCCTTGACACCTGCCTTCCTCTGGCCTCTGGCCACAGAGTTGCATTACCAGAGGACTTCCAGTCAACATCCAAATATTCATTGCGTGTCTGCTACACGTCAGACACGACACTGGTCAAGGTGTGAGCAATAGAGCAAGGAAGAAAATAGACAGAATCCAAGTCTCCATGGAACATAAAGGGAAGGTAAATCTCCAGGTCTGGTTATTCTGATTGATTTTTTAAAAAAAACCAATTTATATTATCATATGAAAGTGCTTACTTTTTACCAAATAAACAAAGAACTTGCTCTTGGCATAAAAAGGTGGAGCAAGCTGCTCCGATTTATCTAGCACGGGCCCGCCCTTTCATACTTTGCGGAGCGTAGCATAATTACTGGAGTATTTCCCACACTATCCCTAGTACCTGGGACAATGCCTGCGTTTGAATGAGCGCATGAAGACTTTCTTTGTTGCAGTGGAGAGAGGTCTGCATTGATTCATGTGCCCTTTCTGCGGGAGATTGCAGAAACGACCACGATTCTTCACTCCTCCCTGTGTCCACGCCCTCTGTAATAAGGCTTGGCAACCCTTCTCACGGACAGAGGGAGTCGATTTGCCCTCCCCTCAAATCGGGCTGAACGTGTGACCTGTTGTGGCCAATAGGATGTAGTGGAAGTAATGACGTGCCAGGTCTGAACCCAGGCCTCAAGAGACTCTGAACGCTTCTGCTTTCTTTCTGGAAACCAGTCCAGATGCCACGGTAGACAAGCCTGTGCGAGTCAGCTAAAGGATGGAAGACCCAAAGAAACAAGGACAGGTCAGCCGGGTTGGGCCCTACATCACACAGACCTCAGCTGAGCCGGGTGCTGACGGCAGATACATGGGCGAGCCCCACTGCTGCCAGAATGGAGAAGCCAAGCCCAAACCAATGGCTGTGACGAAGAATTGAGAGCTAAACAAATGGCTGTTGGTTGAGCCACAGCGTTTTAAGGTAGTTTGTTACACAGCAGAAGCTGCATGATATGCTATTTGGTCCCTTCCTTTTGTGAGCAGCAGTCGACTCCCACAGCCTTGAAGACGTCAGGACAGGCGCAACGGGGATACCATCTGCATGCAGAAATAGATCACGCTGGTCCACAGAAAGACTGTACCCGTGACTTGGCTGTCGCACAAACCGAACTGACAGATTTGGGCAAAATCACGAGCTCCTGTTTTAAAGTGCAGAAATTCATATTTTTCTTTAAATTCACATACCTCTTGTTAAATTAGAAGACAAAGTATATTTGAAAGACTACATCTATTTGGATCTAAATTTCCCAAGCATCTTGATGAAATTCAGACTTTTTTCCCCATTTCCAAATCTTTTGCTTTAATAGTAATGAATTGTTTATTCCTATACTTACTTTTGCCAGAGTGGCATAGGATATCATGGAGCTGCTCTGACCAAAACGAGATAGCGCGTTCCTTGGGTTCACTTCCAGGTAACTATCTTGGGAGCCTGAACATTCTTCAGATTTGCTTTGATAAGGTTCTGTTTTAATTTTTGGCCAAATTAATACAGTCAATTCCAAATTTAAGATAAAAAAGGCTCCTTGAGCTTTTCTGGTTCTCCTCTTTTTACAGATCAGATTTTCTAATATGAGACAATGGAACTGGACTTATTTTATCGCTAAGACCACCACCTGAGGGCCAAGGCTGGAGGGAGTGGATGCCTAGGCCACAGGACACT